TATGAATGTTTCTGTTAAATTATTATTTTTATATGAATGTTTCTGTTCAGTTATTATTTTTATAAGAATGTTTCTGTTCAATTATTATTTTATATGAATGTTTCTGTTCAGTCCCTGAGACGACTTCTGTTGTGACTTGGAGCTAAATAAATAAACTATTTGAAAAAACAAAACACGGGGAGAATAATTTTGGTGGCGGCGGTGGCTGAGTGGTTAGAGAAGTTGTCCTCCAATGCAAGAGCTGGGGGTTTGATTCCACCAGCAGTCGCATGCTGAAGTGTCCTTGGGCAAGACACTGAACCCCTCGTTGCCTCTGATGTGTCCATCATGTATGAATGTGATCTAAATGTCAGCACCGACATAAGCCCGTGATATATATATATTATGTATTTATCTTATTTATTTATTTATTCAACAAGCATGTGTGTTTTTTTGATTCTGTTAATTTTCTCAAAACTGTAATTTTTGGAAGTTGAAATAAAAAAAATTGTCTTGAATGAAAAATCCCCGATGTTTGAAAGTATAAAAATTGGAACTATTAAAGCGCAGGTCTTAAGTATTTGTTACACACATTTTGAGAGCCCCTGCTGTAAAGCACTGATTGTTGTTTGTACACATCTAGTAGAGTTCTGTACGAATGGCTCAGATCGTGTTGTAAAGCACTTTGACTGTCTTCTTAAGACGCTGGATAAGTACAGTCCATTTACCGTTTTTATGTTTGTCTTAAACATTTTCATCAGTTCGAACTGAACCTTTTTGTTTTCTCCACAGATGGAAACGAGCGGAGAGTCGCTACACGGTGGAGAGAGCCGCCATCATCAGCCACTGGAACTGGCTCCAGGCCCACATCTCGGACCTGGAGTACCGCATCCGGCAGCAGACGGACATCTACAGACAGATCCGCGCCGGCAAGGTGGGTCAGGTTGAAACCGTCTGAACGACGGAGACCGCCGACACAAATATCTGCACCCACACGTTTGCACTTAAAAGCAGCCGCTGACGTAAACTAATAAATTCAAAATACCGTAATTTCCAGACTCATGACTCAATGAGACCACCTGTATAATTTTATTTTTTTAATCTGACCAATGAAACTGTTTCGGTGACAGCGTGGGGCGCCCTGCTTGTGTAATGGTAAGGAAAACTGGGAAGCACTTTTACATTTATTTTTATTTAGTGGGCGGGGCTTGTATTCAGGTGCGCTCGATAGTCTGGAAATGGTTCTGTTGGATCGAACTGTGAGGAAGTCATTGGTCTTGTTTTTGAGAGGACAGTAACCAGAAAACTTTAGTGTTTTTTATTGACCCAACATCAAGTTCTGAGTTTGATTGATCTTAAAAACGTATAAATCAAAGTGCAGTTGATTGTTCGCAGGCGGAAAATTATGGATTTTACTGAAAATGCATAAAGAAAACTTTGGAAACGTTTCAGAAGAAATAAAAACGAAAAAAGGTTAACTCGTGTCGTCTGGACCATTTTCTTTAAGGGAGAAACGTTTCGTCTTCCATCCAGAGGACTTCATCAGCATGTGGCCTCCCAAACCAACCTCCTGTTGCAATCTCAGAAGCTTTTAACACACGCTAAAGAGCCCAACCGTCCAAAACATTCAATCATTGGTAAGCTCAGTCAATGATTGGGCTTATTCTGAACATTTTGGCCTTTGTGTCCTCCGACACTTTGTGATCAGCAAGTCGGCCGTCTGGCCTAAAACGTTTATGATGATTGATTGATTGTTCCTTTAGCATGTGTTAAAAGCTTCTGCGATTCCAACAGGTTGGCTTGAAACACTGCAGTGAAGGCAGATCTGGTTGGCAGGCCACAGACTGATGAAGTCCTCTGGATGGAAGACGAAACATTTCTCCCTTAAAGCAACTGGTCCAGTCGACATGATTCAACTTTTTTGTTATTGACTTGGATGATTGAGCCTACAAACCTTTTATCCACTGCTGCTGTTTCACTCTGTGCAAATTATTAAAATCAACTTAATCCGTTGGATTACGTCTCGTTTAGTTTCCTGTTTCACTTCAGACTTTATCAAAATAATCTGGATTTAAAATGTGTAAATCTGTAGAAACTTGTTTTAACAGGCTCAGAAAATGTAGATCTTTTTTTAAAGTTAACGTTTCACTGTTTTTATGTACCGTATTTTCCACCGTACACGTCACGTCGCCCTGCAAGTCGCATCCGTCCAAACATGTCTCATAAAGTGGAAACAAACAAACACGTCGCTTCACCGTATACGACACGTCTATTACATGTCACCGCTGACGACACAAAACGTGGGCCGGTGTTGTGCCAAACATCGATTGGCTGCCTGCGGGAGCGTGCACGGGAGGACTTTAACAAGATTAACACTTAAAAACAATTGTTTGTTTACTCAACTTTACAGTAAATTGTGTCTCAGTTGAACTTTTCCTTAATAACTGAAGTTCAACGGTCAAATCAGCTGCTTGTCTCCGGGGCGGTGCAGAGAAACGAGGCTGATCTGACGGTTGATCCAGGTGAGCTGGACGAAGGTGGCAGGCTGTGGCAAGCCGATTGTGTCATTAATAGCCACTTTTTACCTATTACATGACGCAACGGCATGCCTTAATACTCGAGTGCCATCACATACTTGAGTGTTCAATATTTTCAGTCAAAATAAATGAAAACGGTCGTATCTCATCCAAACATCGGTTTATGGGAAAAAATCCATAAATACGTCGCAGGGCATGTAAATTATGAATAAAACTGACTTATAGGCTGAAAATACACTGAGTCCATGATTTGAATTTACCTTAGAGACAGAAACAGGTTTTCTTGAGTCATTCCTGATTATTTGAATATTTTTACTCTTTAAAACCGTTTTCTTCTGAAGCTTCAACAGTTCAATAAACATTTTTAATAAATTTTTAACATGAACATGTTTGAACAACAAAACGTTGTTTTTAGCTCGGTGGCGGTTCTGGACGCCTGCAGTGGACTCGGCAGAACTCGGTTCTGTTTGTTCTGGACGTCGTCCTAAATTACAAACGATTTAAATCAAACCCAGACCCGTTTGATCCGTATCAACAAATTATTAATTTATATTTTAACCTGAGATTCTGAGACTTCTCATCAAGGTTCTGCAGAACAAAAAGGTTTAGTTTATAACAAGATTATAGGAACAAACCGGATCAGAACTCTGAGTCCAGAGACCGGTTCTGAGGTTCTGGGTCGGAGCGGTCCGACCCGCTGCCTTCAGTGTTTTGTTGTGGGTTCTGTTATAGACCAACTGTAACGCAGAGGATCCATTTTCTGGACCAGTTTTATTTGTTTCTGGGTTGTGGGGAGCCGGTGTCTGTCCCCAGGGAGGTGGGGGACACGTGGACAGGTCTCCGGTTCATCACAGGAAGTCAGAATGGACTTTAACAGCTGGTTTGTTGCTCTTCTGTAGCAGCAGCTTGGAGCTACGATCAGCTGTTTCACTTCGAGTAGAACCAAATTAAAAATGTTCTGCTGGACGTGGTTTTTCTCTTTCACGTCACAGAAGCTGGACTCTGTCCAACTCTGTCCAACTCTGTCCAACTCTGTCCTTCACAACGGATCATCAGCATAACGATGCAAGTTTATACCATGCGGTTTAATAACTTTACCTAACGGAAGCATCAATAAAGTAAACGGTACTGGTCCAAGCACGGAACCCTGAGGAACTTCATGAGTAACTTTAATGTATGAAGGTCCTTCAGAGCTCAAGGAGCAGATTTTAAACATCCATCAGCCGAAGGAGCAGATTTTAAGTGTCCCATCAGCCGAAGGAGCAGATTTTAAGTGTCCCATCAGCCGAAGGAGCAGATTTTAAGTGTCCCATCAGCCTTTTGTGTCCCTCAACATGAGATGCGTGTCTTTTTGCTGTTCCCTCGTCAGGAGTCTCCACAGCGAGTCATCCTCCTCCATCCGTCCTCGGTGTCCTCTGTCCTCGCCCCAACTACCCCCATGTCCTGTCCCTCCTCTGTCCACATGTCCAGACCATCTCAGTCTGGTGTCTCTCATCCGTTCAGCCTCTGCTGTTCCTCCTCAACACAAAGTTAACTTTAAATAAAACAAGTTTAAAGTAGTTTCTTCGTGCGTCAGGATCGAGTCTTCACCTCGACCCGTACGAGTCGGGAAGCTAAAAGTGCGTCTTAATTTGTCCTCCTCGACTCGAATCGTCCCGCTGCAGCTCCTCTCAGGTTGTTTTTCGATGAGTCTCCGAGGTGGAGGCGTGACGCTGCTCTGTTCTCTCCGCAGGGCTCGGTGGAGCTGGGCGGCGCCGCCCCCTGCAGCGCCACGCCGACGGGCGGGACGGAAACAAAGACGGAGGCTGCGAACACTCAGGTGAGCTCCGCTCTTCTGTTTCCTCTACATGAAGCTAAAACCTGCTGTTTCCTCTACATGAAGCTAAAACCTGCTCTTTGTTCATCTTTGAGCTTCCAAACCTTTTTCATTAAACCTGTTCGTTCTCTCGAGTCGAGCCGGAGCTGGAAATGAAACGAGCGTCAACAGGAAATGATTTATCCCGGGTCCCTCGGCTGAAGCTGATAAAACCCTCCGACCTTCACACGTTTATTTTAGACGGAGCCGGTGATTCTGTGGATTTGATGAAGTCTTTTTAAACTGCGTGACTCAGAAGAACCGGATCTTTTAGACGACGTCCGTCCGTGCATGTTGTGAGCATAACATGAAAAGTAAGTGAGGTGCCCACTTCCATTTTGGTGTGCGACTGCGTTCAGGTGTAAGAAAGGCTCCTTTGGAAAATTGGGTTGCCGCGTCATAATCCAAGATGGCCGCCACCATCCGTGTGTAAACAGACCCCACTTATCATTTGAGAAAACTTTGCATTCTCGTTTTTAAGTTGCTTAAAAGTTTAGTTTCTTCAAATGATGGGGGGCCGTGGTCACCGTTAGCCACCCCCTGGCTCCTCCACTGCTCCTGGAGGTGGATAAAACTGCTTCCTCCTCCTCCAGGATCCTCGGACTCCTCCCTCTGTTCTCGTCCACAGTGAAACTCGTTGTGAATATTTTCACCAGAAACGTTTAGGTTGACCTCGTTCTGTTCGGCTGCTTTCACCGGACAACCACCAACACTCAGGTTCGATCTGCCGTCGGCTCCTTGTGCTTTTGTTACGGACGTTTTTGTTTCATCGCTCAAAAGACGAAGACTGAAATCAGTTTGAAGCCACCGAGCTGGTCTTTAATCTTTGAGAAAGCGTCACACATCGGAGCCGGTTCTGGTGGGAGAACCCGGCTCGAACAAATCTGATCTGAATAATTCAGGACCCGCGGGTCAGGACGATTCTGTTCATCTGTGGTTTCCTTAAATGTCCCGCTCCGGTTGACGGATCGGTCTCGTCTGTCCCCGCAGGACGACGGCGCAGAACGGCTGGAGAACCCGAGCCTCGCCCACATCAGCAGCACCGAGCCGGGCCCGTGGAAAGGTCCGACCGGGCAGCCGGTGAACGGCGTCCTCAGCAGGTACGGCGAGCAGGTTAACGTGAACGCAAGTTCTAACACCACACGAGAGTTCGAGCTCGATTATAATATTTAAAATGTTATGCTGACGCAACATCCGAGAGGATTTCTGTTTGATGGAACCTCAGGAGAGAAAACACGTTTACAGTCGTGTTGCTGAACATTTGTAAAAAGAGTCTGCTTCTCTTAAAGACTCCGTTTGTCCCACTCGAGCTGCCGTAGCTAATTGTTCACAGTTTGATAACGCGGATGCTAACCGGGTTAGCCTTTCTATGGGGCTCTCAGTGTTAAGTTAGCATCAGTGCTAGCTGTTGTTCAGCAGCCTGTGCTTCTTCAGGTTTTAGTGTTCACTCTTTGTTAGACATAAAAATACACGACGGGTTTCAGTGTTTTAGGTAAACATGAGCTCATCGGCTGTTTGTTCACAAACCTGATGATTGTTTTATAATCGCATCGCAGCTCTTTGAACCGTGAAGAGTCCTACGTCTGGTTTACAGCCGAACGTTCAGTTGGATCTGAGCAAAAAAACAAGTCAGACTGAAACCTCAAGAGGTGACGCCCCGAACAATCAAAGGACGCTAACATTAGCTAAATACAGGCTAACGTTGGTTTCCATTCAGCTAACGTTAGCCTCTGTTCGGCTAACATTAATGTCCATTCAGCTGAAGCAAAACAAGTTTTTAAAGGTTTTGCAGCTGATTCAAAGTTCAGCCCCGAAAAGAAACTAACGCCTCGCCTGTTTTAGCCAAAGCTTGTTGACTCCATGTTGGAGCAGCTGAAAGCTAACCCGCTAAATCAGAATCTTTCTTCACAAAACAGTTGATAAAAGGCCGATCATCTTCATCAGCGATGAGTTTTATTTTATATTTACTGTAAGTTTATACAAGAAAAACATTTAAAAAAAGAAAAATGTTTATTTTTTTACTTTGACAGGAAACAAACTTTATTTTATAAACACTGAGATATGTATATATTATATATAAATGTATGAAAGTTTTAAAAGCTAATGTTCATGCAGTTTTTAAATAATTCACGTTTAAAATGTAGAAACTTTATGAATCGACACAATAAAACTTTTTGGTCGAACTAAAACACGACGCTCAGAAAAATAAAAATATAATTTAGAAAGAATTCAAACAGATTTTAGTCGTTAAAACATCAACGATTTTAATTTGTTTCTGTCTGGAGCGGACGTGTCGGACATCTTGTTGTTGTTGTTGTTGTTGTCAGGATGGCGGACGGCGCCGACCCGAAGCTCCAGGCCCTCGACGGCACGTGCGTGGCGGCTCGCACGCGGCCGCTGCTCGGCTGCCGGCGGCGGCGGCTCGTTCAGCCCAACACGGTGACCAACCTCAACGGGAAGGTGAGCCTCCATCTTTGTTTCAGAACTTCCAGGCTGTTGGACCCGTGTTTGTTTGGGTTCTGCAGCCGTGAATGGACCATTGTTCTGACCCTTCCTGAGAGCGGAGCGGTAAAGATGGCCGCCCTGCGCGTCGTTTGAGGAACCTGAATCTGATGAAACGTCTGTAAACAGTCGGACGGTGTTTATTGATCAGAACCTCTGGCTGTCCCTCAGGCCTCGAGGAGCAGCTGTGTCCCGTGCGCCTGCAGGGTGAACCCCGGCTGCGTGACCTGCGGTGGCTGGCCCACCCCCAGAGAGGAGCCCCAGTACGAGCTGCCCACCCTGGAGCGCCTGTCAAGGCTGGATCTTGGCGTCCACCCCATCCTGTCCTTCTCTGACGGTCAGTTTACGCTGTCACTTCCTGTTTGACCCCCGAGGGCTCTAAAGCAGCAGGAAGTTCCTTTTTACTGTTTCCATGGAGTCCGAGCAGGTGCGAGTGTTTCATGATGACCTGGTTCCAGCGTGTTTAACGTCCTCCTCCTCCCGCAGACGTGTCGGTCGGCCTGCGTCTGCAGCAGGTCATGAAGAGTCAGTGGCAGACGAAGTCGCTGGAGAGGAGCAAACCGCTGAAGAAGCTCTCGCTCAAAAACAAGCTGTCCTCGTCCAAAGAGAAGCACAAGTTCACCAACTCGCTCATGGCTGTCAGTAAGTCCACAACAAACCCCCAAACCCGCTCCATCGTCCGGACTGGGCCGCCTTTCTGTGGCGACGGCTTTATAGATTCAAGATGGCCGCCACAGCTGAGCAGCCGTAGGAAACACAAAACTTGAAGGTGGTAGTAGCTGAGAGTCTAAAACTGATCAAAGGCGGCTAATTTAATTTTAGAGGAGTTGGGTTCCAGCTGTTTTCCCACGATGCACTTCTTCACAGCAGCTCCAGGCCTCGGGTCGGGTTCTGATGGTTCTGTTGTTGCAGGACTCAGTCACTATAAGAACCGTGTGGAGAAGCAGCGGGCGGGCAGCGCACTGAGCGCGCCCAGACTGGACAACCAGGCCGGCTGCAAGACGGAGCGCCTGCACGGCCTCTCAGGACCCTACGACAAGAACTACAGCCGCAAGAGGGTACGGGAGCCGTCGCTGGACCGGACCGACAGTGAGTCCCTCAGACCTGGTACCCCCGTCAGAACCAGGTTAGTCTGTGGTTCTCTAATTCTGCTCGTTCTGGGTCCTCCAGCCTCCCCAAAACTGTTCCTAGACTCGAGCAGCCCCTGCTCCACGCTGCCCAACATGCACCCGGCGCTCCACAGTCCCCTGACCCGCCAGCTGTCCACGTCCTCGGAGAACTCCACGCCGCTCGGGCCCGGCAGCGTCTCCGGCACACCAGTAAGAGTCCGGCTCACGGGTTCTCACGAGTCTCGTCGTTGTTGTTGTTGTTGTCGTCGTCGTCTGCTCCCTCAGGCGTCCATCCTGAGGAAACACGGTCTTTAGTTTCACTGTGATGCTGATGATCGTCAGATTTATCTGTTGAAACCCAACAGCTCCGCTCACCCTGTTCACATGTCTTGATGACTTCATAACATCATGACTTCATAACATCATGACTTCGTGACATCATGACTTCATAACTTCATGACATCATGACTTTGTGACATCATGACTTCATGACATCATGACTTTGTGACATCATCACTTCATAACATCATGACTTTGTGACATCATGACTTCATAACTTCATAACACCATGACTTCATGACATCATGACTTCGTGACACCATGACTTCATAACATCATGACACCATGACTTTGTGACATCATGACACCATGACTTCATAACATCATGACACCATGACTTCGTGACATCATGACTTCATAACATCATGACACCATGACTTCGTGACATCATGACACCATGACTTCATAACATCATGACACCATGACTTCATAACATCATGACATCATGACTTTGTGACATCATGACTTCATAACATCATGACTTCATAACACCATGACTTCATAACATCATGACTTCATAACACCATGACTTCATAACACCATGACTTCATAACATCATGACTTTGTGACATCATGACTTCATAACATCATGACTTCATAACATCATGACACATGACTTCATAACATCATGACTTCATAACACCATGACTTCATAACACCATGACTTCATAACATCATGACTTTGTGACATCATGACTTCATAACATCATGACTTCATAACATCATGACACCATGACTTCATAACATCATGACTTCATGACATCATGACTTCATAACACCATGACTTCATAACACCATGACTTCATAACACCATGACTTCATAACATCATGACACCATGACTTCATAACACCATGACTTCATAACATCATGACTTCATAACATCATGACTTCATGACATCATGACTTCATGACATCATAACATCATGACTTCATAACTTCATGACATCATGACTTTGTGACATCATGACTTAATGACATCATGACACCATGACTTCATAACATCATGACACCATGACTTCATAACATCATGACTTCATAACATCATGACTTCATAACATCATGACTTCATAACATCATGACTTCGTGACATCATGACTTCGTGACTTCATAACATCATGACTTTGTGACACCATGACTTCAAGACATCATGACTTAATGACATCATGACTTCGTGACTTCATAACATCATGACTTCGTGACATCATGACTTCGTGACTTCATAACATCATGACTTCGTGACATCATGACTTCGTGACTTCATAACATCATGACTTCATAACTTCATGACATCATGACTTCGTGACATCATGACTTAATGACATCATGACACCATGACTTCATAACATCATGACACCATGACTTCATAACATCATGACTTCATAACATCATGACTTCGTAACATCATGACTTCGTGACATCATGACTTCATAACATCATGACTTTGTGACACCATGACTTCAAGACATCATGACTTAATGACATCATGACTTCGTGACTTCATAACATCATGACTTCGTGACATCATGACTTCGTGACTTCATAACATCATGACTTCGTGACATCATGACTTCGTGACTTCATAACATCATGACTTTGTGACACCATGACTTCGTGACTTCATAACATCATGACTTCGTGACATCATGACTTCGTGACTTCATAACATCATGACTTTGTGACACCATGACTTCAAGACATCATGACTTGATGACATCATGACTTCATAACATCATGACTTCATAACATCATGACTTCATGACATCATGACTTCATAACATCATGACTTCATAACATCATGAC